TCGATCCAAAGTTATCTTTGTGTAAAGCTACAATATATCTCTTGTTGAACCATAGGTTAATGGAGATGCCTTATATGTTGAACTAAGTTTTCCTTGTGAAAGAAGGTTAGGCGGTTTCAAATAAGTCTGGGAGTGCGTGATTTAAACCTTTAGTTTGTCTGCTCTTGTATGGTAGACTAGGGAGAGATTTCTCTCTATGGACACATTCAGCTACTAGAATAGTTCATACTGTTATATATCGTATTCTCTGACCAACGGAGATCCCGAGACGAGGTAAGTCGATCATCAGACATACAGGTTGAATGATATTGATAAACTCTGGCGTTAAACATTAAAAAAAGGGGAAAATGTGTGCTGCATAATATCAAATGTGATGATCATGATCTGCGGCATAAACCTTACTATTTTTTTGGGTGATAATTGTATGGCAATGAGTTTCTTTCTTGAAACAAAGGACTCTCAAGGTAGAAAAGTCCATTAATGTGATTAGTAGTGTGCTCTTCTTGAGCAAAACTAAGTCAGATGGTAATGAGTCTGGGCGAGAAAATAGACCTACAGTTATAGACATCCACTACTGCTAAAAGAGAAGGAAACTGCTCAGAACAAAGTCAGAAGGAAGCACCATCACCCCTGCACATACACAAGGGATATCCCTCAGCCTTATCACAGGTAACTAGTGCAAAGGTATGGTCCTAAAGTTTTTCTTCTGTCCTACTCAACTTCTAGGTAATGTCTTGTTATAAGTATGACTGATGCATTGCTTAAACATCAAAAGAGATTGTTTGTAGAGAGAGTCAGTGTGGCAAGTTTACCTGAACCGATTCATCGTGAAATATTTAGATGTGTGAGTCAGTCTATAAATAGAGTGATATATGCATTAAGGTGTTCAATTCAGTGTGACATGGACATTCATTTCTGAATCTTATCAGTCTACTGCGAAGTTGATACACTTCACACTAAATGTCTTAAGGACATGGTTGTCCTCTTGAGTATAATTTAGTTTGAAGATGGTCTACATGATAAAAATTAGATTAGTGAATGAAGAAGGCATGGATCACTTTGCTGTGAAATGTGACGAAATATGATAAATGTCTTATTGCCCTCGCATGTGAGATATATTGGCCTGCTCTACCACTTCATACATTCGTATAAACCAATCAACTCTGAACTTTGCTCGGAATAGCTGGTACATTCATATAGACCATTATGCAAAGACTTTCTTAATGAAGTGAATGAGTGCTCTTAATGCTGCAAGAATCAAGTGAAGGTTAAATTCTATGTCTACAATTCTATGATCCTGATTTTGTGCTTCCATATAGGTATGATAGAATTAAGATGAGACACTGCATAGTCCTTCAACCTTGATTCAGTTCATTGTTTAAACATGTCATCTCTCAAGCATAGCATATTAGGATAGTTGTAGCATGTAAGGACCTAACCATATGTCCTTTATGCTTCTATTCCTGACATGTTGCTGCAAAGTGACCTATTCTGAATGAGGTAGTGGATTAAGGGGGAGTATCTGCATAGGCACGACACTCATCACTCTTGTCTTGTCTTTTCTGCATGCACTCTTAGAGTCCTATATATATGGCAAAGGCTAGCGTACGCCCGGACGTACCCTAGCCTATCGTACGCCCTTTGAGTTTTGCTATTTAGACAATAAATTAACCGGAGTTTGGGGCACGATACTATACCCTAACCCCTAATGGGTGAACCCCAGTCCGCAATTCACTAACCCAAATAATAATATTCATTTAATCTTGAAATGAAAATCAACGGTTCTGATTCGTCGAAATTATTGTTGATTTTCATTTTAAGATTAAACGAATCTCATGATTTGGGTTAGAAAACTAGGGACCGGGGTTTATCCATTAGTGGTTAGGATATAGTATCATGCCCAAAACTCCGGTTAATTCTTTATCTAAATAGCAAAACTCAAACGGGCGTATGGTAGTCTAACGTACGCCCGGGCGTACGCTAGCCTGAACCATATATGGTGGCTTCTGATTTTCGTTTCTAATTAAGACCTAGATTATACATGGTAGTCCAACCCCTAAGATTATACATGTAGTTTGTTGCATATATTTCGATGAATCATGACCACTGATTTTCGTTTCTAATTAAATTGATCTTAGTGTGTGAGATTTATAAAATTAAGACCTAGATTTTAATCTTAACAGGCTTACGAACAGTACCAGATGTCAAACTCCGGTCAATTCAAGATCTAGATATCATTTTATTAATCAAGGTATGTCATACCTTTGATTTTACCCAATGTACGATAGAACCACCCATATATATATATATATCGTGCATTGTAATGATTCACCAACCTTTTGTTCGCACTCTCATTGCTTGTCAATGTCCCAAGGGGGAGAACATCTGCACTTCCGTACGTTACTTTTGATTGGTTAGAAGGGAAGTTTGTCTAGTTGGCTTAAATCTTTTGGGAGACTGCATGTGCATGAAGTATTGAAGTGGCCAACTAGAAAGTTGACTTGAACAGGACATATTTTGCTTAAGGATGAATTATGCGGATCATATTTTGCAACTGACCTTGTACTAAGTATTAAGCAGATACAAATGGGCCATTGTCAAGCTTGACAACGACCATACTTAAAGCTTCATTCCATCATTAGAATTGTGTAACATGGCGTCGAGAGCAACATGGTAAATGAAGAAAATGAGTTACAAATCGAGACTCGCAGAATTCATAGTGGTTACAGAAAGCTCTATCTGGGGGAGGACAAGAATGGTAACGAGCTTTTGGGTATAAAGTTGTCTCCGCAAAGGGAAATTAACCATTCAAGACTAGCAAACAAGGAAAGAAAGATATTCAAGTAAAACCAGCAGCATGTCAATTAAAACAGAGGAAGCAACAAATAAGCGGACAAGATAGTGAGCTGCAAGTTCAAACATAATGGGTGTTTTTCTGCATATGGAAAGCAGATCAATCAATGGCGAACGGGCAAGGAAAGCAGTGATTCAATTCAAACGTTTACGGCCTACAAAAGTGTATAAATAAGAGAATGCAGACTTTTCGGGAGAAAAAAAATCAAAGAGTGCAAAGGTGATTTGCGAGTGATTTTGAGAGAAAAGTCGGCACATGAATCAGGGAGATTTCTGGGTATAGGTATTGAGCAATACCTAGGTTCTATCAGCTGGGTAGTTGATAGGTTAGTTTCGTCGATTCAGCGGGGAGCTAGTCGATTGGATATTTGAGAGACTTTGTAACTTTGTGAGCTTCAATGAAAAACATCATAGTGGAACGCCAGAGATCGCAAACTGCGAATCACTGGCCGTGGACTAGTCAGGGTTAGGATCATTAATCGCCTAACACTGGAAACCACGTAAAAATCTCGTATGTACCGTGTTATCTAGTTTCACTGTGTTCTGCGAGTGGAACTCTGTTCTTGTTCTGTTCTTATGATCTGAAATACAAAGCCGCTGCCGATCCGTGGAAGAAGGAAAGCTAGAGCCAATTTCAGTTAAAACGCAACACCTCAAATTTTTTATGTAGGATACCATTTGGGCTCAATTAAGAGAATAAGAAAGAAACCATTTGGGCTTAAGTTTCAAGCCCAACCAAAAGAGATCCCGTCGTCTCATTCAACAAACACAAAAGCTAGCCATGTTCACTTCCATTTTCATGTCATAAATTTGGCAACCGGAACGAGAAAACTTGTTTATTTTTTATTCTGTTTTTTATTCGTTTCCAACTATGAAAACAGAAAGTGGCAACTTCCTGCTGTTTTCGAAAACAATAAAATATTGTTTTCACCATTTATTTTCTTAAAAACAGGAAACAGAAATGAAAGTAAACATACCCTTAATAGTTAATACCACCAATCCACCACCACTCTTAATTCCTTATTCTTGTCTTGCATCCTTGCTGGGCTTGGACCAAAGGAAGAAGCCCAAAATCCAGAACAAGAGCATTTGATCCATTTAAAGAAAAGAACAGAGCATGCTTGGGTAGTACTTGTTAGCTCAAAGACAACACCGTTTTGGCTAACTTGGAAGGTAGGCAACAATATTTCATTTTGTACACAATGTCAGATTTCAAACATTTAGCCCCAATATCCAGAGAGATGCCAACCATTCATAATTCCTTTGTGATATTGGTCCACTTTTCATCCACTATGTCATTGATGAGTTGGCCCATGATAAATGTGACCTATTTCACACCACATCACTCAACCACTCTAGATGGTTCCAATTCCAACTAGTGTCACTAGCTCATAGCCTCTTTTATCCAAGTTTAGCTGCCTACTCATACTTTGAATGAAGCTAGTTGGATTAGCTATGCATAGCTAGAGTGTGCTAGAGGTTTGCCCAAGAGCAGGACCGAGTGTTAACCAAGACAACACTCCATGGATGATAACCAAACTAAATGGTCATGGAGGATCCTTTACGAAGGAGAGCTCCGCAAACTCGAAGTCTTGACAAGTTCACTTATAGATTTAGCTTTCAATAGAAAGAAAAAAAATTCTAGTCGAACTACCGGTACGGAATGATATTTTAATCTTTGATGCCAAGTGAAGTTTTGAGTTCAAAGCAACAAATCTCCCAACTACCTCCCACTTGCACTAGATGAACTTGATGCCAACTAAACATCAAACTCATGCATTGCACACATGGATAAACATTCAGGGTACTCAAGTCAACACACATGCAAGTAGGTAGTGTGACCACTTGGCATCTAGAGATCTTCAATATTGTGGTTGTTAGGTGCACATAATGGTACCTTTGGATCCAGTTTCCACAGGACTTGATACGCAAGACATTTTGGTATTTTCTTGTCCTTTCCATTGGTTGATCATTAAATTGGCTTTGACTTTACCAAACTTCAAACTTTGTGTTTTTAATTTGGAAAACCGTTTCGGATGGGATATCAGAAAAGTCAATAATAGAATATATCTTATGCTGAAATCGTAGTTAAAAAGTTTCATACTACTAAAAGTCGTCTACCGAATTAGATTCCGATAGGATGTTTTTTCCGTCAGACTAAAGACATTTCATATATGGCTCTGAGGAAGCTAAACATAAATAAATAACAAATCAAAGAGCAAAGGCAGAAAACTAGGCGCAACACTTATCTACTTGGCTATTCTTGCTGGTTCTGCTACAAATGACTCAGCTAGAGACCAAAAATTCATCCTACACAACGGCCGGCCGCAAGGAGTTGAAAAGAGTGCAGAAGCAAAATTACAAATCGTAAAAAACCTGAACCATTTCTCTGTAAGCACAGACTTCCTTAGCCTAGTAGATCAGTTGCCAACAACCACAACTGCAGATGTCCCCGTCTCGGAGAATTTTCTACAGCAAAGGAAAGAGTGACCCCTTCTGATGTTAATGGTTAAACTCCCCCAGCTCTACTCTCAGGGCTTAAATGCCGAAAACGCCACAACTGAATTGTGTCCTCCAAAGCCGAAGGAATTTGAGATGGCTGAAAACAAGAACCAGAGTGTCTTAGATTCTCTTCTTGAAAGTAAGTGCAGCGATCATTGTTCGAAGGTTTAGCTGTCTTACCAACATTCACTTCGTGCTGCTGCTTCTCGTTGGCTACTGTGTTGAATTCAACGGAGGCCTCTGGATTCTGGTTTTACACATACAAGAGATTTCAGTTTATTAACCTAATAAAAACCCAAGATAGCAAAACTCACACATAGCTGTTTAGACAAAGAACTGGGACAAGTGCATACAAATTGGTTGATGGAAGGATGTAGCCATCCCGTGTTGATAGCCTTCACCGTAGCGATTGCTTCCAAACCTCCAGCAGCACCAAGACAGTGACCTATCATAGACTGAGAATGACAAAAACAAAAGGCAGGTACCGAGATTTACTGATTTAGCAATACGACCACAAGAAATAGAATTTCCAGAAAACACCCAAGTTAAGAGAAGCCAAAAGAACTTGCAGGATTAACCAATGTTAAAGGAGACATAAGGTTTACCTTGGTTGCATTGATTTTAATCTCCGAAGTGTTCTTGAACACCTTCTTTATAGCATTTATCTCCGCAAGGTCACCAGCAAGAGTGGAGGTCGCATGGGCGTTTATGTAGTTGACCTGAGCAGCAAAAAGCACAACGACGTAAGAAAATAGGCAAACCACAACCTTAATCAACCAAGAATATCCTCTTCCTGGCCTTTCCTACTGATACATTACCAGAAAGAACCCAGAACAATCATTTCCGTTCATTTTGCTCTAGCATGACGACGTAAGATATTAAAAAGAATATAGGCAAACCACAACCTTAATCAACCAAGAATATCCTCTTCCTGGCCTTTCCTACTGATACATTACTAGAAAGAACTCAGAACAATCATTTCAGTTCATTTTACTCTAGCAAACTCGGTAAGAAAATTGTAAACTGGCTATATTAATGCAGTTAACAAGCAAGATCAGACTCTTCCCTAATACTCACAGACTGAAGTTTTCAGCTTAATTAGCATCCAAAAGTCAGAAATACATAAAGAAGATTGTCCACTGACGTAAATTTGAAACTATTGCAAAACTAGGAACCATTGCCAGTAACCATTTACCAATGCACACCCACAATATGCGAAAGAAACCAACAAACGAAAAGAGGACTAAATGGAGGCCCAACAAAGAGTCATTTATGTCTTTTATAACCATACTAATATTGACATTCAGAGAGAGGTGGGAGGAACAACTTGTCACCTCTTCAGGCGAGACACCAGCATCTTCAAGACTTCTCTCGATACAAGTAGAAACACCAAGTCCATCAGCTCTTGGGTCAGTCATATGATAAGCATCACAGTTAATAGCACCTCCCAAGTACTCAGCAATGATGGGTGCCCCACGTTTCATTGCATGTTCCAAACTCTCCATAATCTGAGCACATTTAAGATTAATCCGTTCAGCTCTTTTAACTCTTGAGCTAGTATTAATGTACCATCATCGGGTTGAAGTTCATAAAAGAAAAAAAATTGTGAAGGAAGAAGGATTAACAGATACCAATGCAACCCAACTTACCAAGACTCCTGAACCTTCACCCATAACAAAACCATCCCGATCTCTGTCCCATGGCCTCGAAGCAGTTTGTGGGTCGTCATTTCTCTGAGATAAGGCCCTACATGCTACAAATCCTCCCAACCCTATAGGAATAATAGCAGCTTCAGTTCCACCAGCAATCATCAAATCAGCCTCACCCCGGCGGATATGGTTTGCAGCAGCATAGAAGCAATAATTAGAAGTGGCACATGCTGTTGAAATTGAATAATTTGGCCCCATGAAACCAAGCTCAATTCCCAGCAGAGCCGAAGCCATGTTTGTTATGGAGTAAGGAATGAAGAATGGGCTAACTTTCCTGTGCCCTTTCTCAATTAGAGTCTGGACATTGTCAGAAAATACAGTAAGACCTCCCATCCCTGATCCAACGAGCACACCAGCTTTCTCCAAGTCGATCTGCAATAAATGGTTTTCAGAGACCAAATGTAACCGGATCAAAAGAGTGAATCAAATTTTAATAAGAAAGAGGGCGATACTACATTTGAAACTTTTTGTCCTATGCACTTGCCGTTCGCCATTCACTTGTAGATCCTAATTCATAAAGAATTCTGCTAACAATTGAGGACAGTAAGACTCATCCAAGCTCACTTGCATTCTACACTTGCCAATCAAACCAAATTCAGATCCTAAAACCAGAACTTCCCCAGCAATTAAAAATGGAAGAAACGATAAACCCACCAAGTAAAACAGCCAAACCCGCCAAAACCCTACACAGCCAAATTCAGAAATCCCAAAAGGAAACATATTTCAATTGAACAGTGGAAGCAAACCTTGGATAGCTTATCCCCACCAAGATCCGCATCTTCCAGGGCCTTCTTCCCCGCCACAATGCAGTACCTCAAGCAATCATCAAGCCTCCGATCGTTCTTCCCATCGATATAACCCTGAGAATTAAACCCCCGGATCTGCCCGGCAAACCGGGTCGGGAACTTGGACGCATCAAAGCGGTCGATGAGAGTGATCCCACTCTCCCCAGCCAGCAGCTTGTCGTAGTAAGCATCCACGTCATTGCCGAAAACGGATACCAATCCCATACCGGTGATTACGACCCGCTTCTTCGGGTCAGTCTCCCGCTTGGGAGCTGAAACGGAGACATTCTTGGTGGTGGAAGCAGAGGCAGTGATGGCGGAGAGCTTCCTCTGGGAGAAGAATGCGTGTCGGGTCGCATTGCGGAATTTCCGTTGGAGGGGCTGCAGTGGGGAAGGGCGGAGAGAAGAAGGGGATTGTAAAGATTGCAGAGCTTGCATGGCGTATGGCAAAGGAGAAGGAAGAAGTGAGATTTTCTGTAATGGGGGGCGACGAGAACGAGGGGGGAAGACGCGGAATAAAAGATGAGGCGGAGCGGGGGGAAGAGTCAAATACTTGCTCAATTGACAGTTCACACTTCACATTAGTACTGCTAGTTTGTAGTCTCTTTCAAATGGTTACTATGGTTATTATCAAACAAAATAAGGCTAAATTTCATTAACTATGGAATGCAATATCATAATCAAACAGTCCAAACTCCAAACTAATACAACAACCAAATTAACTTTATTCAAAAAAAAAATCAAACTAAAGTTTAATCAGTTTGGTTAATTGGTTAACCAGATTAACCAATATAAAATCACATTATCATTAAGTGAGAAAATTTTCGATTAATTTATCAATTCACAATTTATATAATGAATAAAACATAACAATCAACACATAGTTATAGTTTACCCTTAACATAAATACATGCAAGGAATCCTATAATGTATATTCAAAGTATTAAGTATGTGTATATATTAGATATATATAACTAATTATTTATCTGGTTAATTTGGTTTGGCTGGTTAGGAGTGTGAGTGTCTAAAACCAAACCAAACAAGCTAAAAACTTTAACCAAACCAATTATCCAAATTAACCAAACCAAATTATCCAAATAGTACTGGTTAAAACGATTACCATGGTAACCACACCGTTTGAACACCCCTAATCTCTATTTCACAACTGGAGCTAGGAGAAAAAAAAAGACTTTTTAGCTTGCAAAAATACATTTTTATTCGGGCAATATTTAGCGGCAACCTGGAGTTGCTGCCCGTCCAGGTGGTGCCTAGTAATTGTGGACAAAATAATATTTAAACTTTTAATTATTAACTGAAATCAGAAGAAGTAGGAAAACGGAGCGAATATAAGTTTCTGTTACCATTTTTAGTTTTTATTCAATTAATAAAGAGTGAGATTTGTACGGATACCCACATTCCGAGTCCGGATCTGGTGACTAAGGGGGGGTGCTTAGTCACATGGCTAAGCTCCCCTCAGCCCTTAGATTAGAATGGGTAGATCTAATGGTCCAGATGAAGGAAGGGTTATTAATTAATCAGAGGGGTAGTTTTGGCATTTAAAAAAAATAATTAAATCCTGTTTTCCATTTTATTTATTTTTTCCTTTTTCCCCTCTCCAATTCTCTCTTCCTTTCCCGTTGTATTGTCCAGAGAGAGAGACGAGGCAATTTTCTCCCGCAACGGCGAACGGCGAGGCGATTCTCCAACGAAGGCCGAGGCAATTTTCTCCGGCGAACGGCGAGGCGATTCTCCAGCGAACGCCGCTACGCTGGAGGAGAGAGAGGCGGCAGCCTTGGAGAGAGAAAGTAGATCTACTCGTCGGAAAACAGAGGAGAGAGAGACGATGGTGAGGAGAGAGAGGCGGCGGAGAGAGCTTCGACGACGATGGAGGAGATAGAAGCGGCGCGGTGATGGAGAGAGAGAGGTAACGACGGCTGTAGAGAGAGTCGACGGCGACGTCGGCGGCGGCGTGGAGAGACATCGTATCGTCATCTGAAGGAAGAACAGTGATTTGTATAGTTTGTATGTTTTGTAACATTAGTTTGTATTGTTAGTATTTTTGTACAAAATGTCAGTATGGTTTGTATGTTTTTCTTTGACAGTTTGTACTCTTAGTATGTTTTTCTTTGACAGTTTGCACTCTTAGTATGTTTTTCTTTGACAGTTTGTATTCTTAGTATGTTTTGCTTGTATTCTTAGTATGTTTCGCTTTGTATTGTAAGTACTAATAATTTGTATACTTTATATGTATTGATTTGTGATGCAAAAAACATTACAAACATGGTTGACAAAAATGACAAACATGTGGACAAAAATAACAAACATTACAAAAGAAACCAACAAACATTACAAACATTACAAAATAACAAACATTACAAACATTGCAAACAAACATTACAAACATTACAAACAAACATTACAAACAGTACAAAGCATACTACACGTACAGAATATCACTACTTACAATACAGATTGGTAAACTTGTATTACAAACAAATGAATACAAAGTATACAAATCATAACATAAAAGTATACAAACTTGAATAACAAAAGTTACAAATACAAATCAATGAATAGAAAGTGTATAAATCATAACATAAAGTATACAAACTAGACAAACAAACATTACAAACATTACAATGTATACAAAATAGTAATATAAACATTACAAACATCACGAACTCAATACTGTTGCCGGAAAATCATCCACCACCGTCTCTGGTCGCCGGAAAACTACTCCGCCGTCGCCGGAAAAGTTCTCTCTCTCTCTCTCTCTCTCTCTTTGACGTGAGATATTGAATTCTCAAGGGGGGAATCTCTCTCTGTGTGTTATCGTGGGCCATTTAATTCTCAAGGGGGAATTATTGCGACCGTCAAAATGGGGCGCCGGCGAACTACACGCGGCCGGCCGCCGGCGGGATCGGAAGTCGCTGGGGAATAAAAAAAACGCAAGTCGCGCGGAGAAGGAAAAGGATCGGGGCTGATTTTTTATTTATTTTAATTAGTAAATGAAAATTAAATAATTAAATTACTACATTGCCCTTCATTAAATTGGATTAATCAGGACCATTGGATTTTAATAAGGTGGAAGGGCTAAGATTCACTTAGTCACATGACTAAGGGACCCCCCCTTAGTCACCAGATCTTAGCCCCCCACATTCCTTCTCCTTTTTCAATTGGTATTAAGTATTAACTTATTGAGGTATCAAATTTATAATGTAGTTTGGCTAAAAAAATTTCACTTCTATTTTATATTTAAATCTTTCTTGGTTTGGTTTAATATAGTTTGGCTTAATTTGTTTCACTTCAATTTGGATGACCTCCATTTTGTATTGCTAGTAAATCGATAGTTGCCTTAATTTGGCAATCTAGCTCTCTCAGCATCATTTGCAATAGCTTTTTGAGCATAACTTATCTTTCTGTTAGACCTTAGCATGTGCTTTATTGTTGTGTGTGTAAGTTCATGATTATGATTTGCTGCAAAAGAAACAATTTTCAGTAAGTCGTCCTTTTTCAGTTGGCAAGTCATTTGTGCTAAATAAACGTTTCTTGTAATTGGTCGCTCAAAAACCATATTCTCGCGCCTTTTATCAAAACCTTTTTTTGCCTTCTTTGGAACAACAAAATGTTCTTCTCTTCACTTGATCTATCCGAGTGATATAGTGCTTCTTTACACTGAAACCAATATTCTGGGCAGGGGTGGTATTCGGTTTTTCGGTTATCAGTTTAATCGGTTACCGGTTATACCGATAACCGACGGTATCGGTATACAGTGGTGGAATTTGAATTCTCACTATACCGATTACTATCCGGTAAATAACCGTCGGTAATCCAGTATACCGAATATCGAAACCTACACCATTCACTTCCCCTTACGCCTGCAATTAACACTTTCTTTTCTTATCCTTTCTTCTTCCCCAACAGACTTCAACCCCTTCCTATTCTTTTCCTTTCTTCTTCCCCAACAGAGTACAAACTATCTCTTTCTCTTCTTCCCCAATTTCATGCGATTAATTTATTGAGACCATCTTCTCTCCTAAGACCCCCAACTGACCATCTCTCTTTCTCTCCCCCGTCTTCTTCCCTAAGCCACACCACAGATCAAGGAGCACCCGTTGTTGACTTGGTCGGTGATGCGCCGTCGTCGCCTCAGATCAAGGCCTCACCGCCTTCACCTCGGTCGGCGCCGCGGCTCGCCGCTCAATTCCTCTGCCTCTCCGAAGCCTTCCTCTACAGCTGAGCATCCCCGGCAATGGCAGATCTAGCCATCGGAGTCGTATCTGGAATGTCAGTGGTCTCGAAGGTGAAGAAGAATCCCCAGATCTGGAGATTCACCGCCACCGCAACACCTCCGCAAACGACCGGATCCACAATCGATGACTGCCACTGCATGCACGACCCCAAATCTGCTACTCTGCCTCGGAGGTTCCCAGTTGTGGAAGAAACGAAGACGGAGAGAAGTGAAGCCTTGCCCGGTTTTTGGATAACCGGAACGGTAGTTACCGGTAAGTCGGTAAGCCGGTTAACCGGCAGCTCCTCGGTACTGGTTATCGGCAAAAACTTTGGGCATCTCGGTGTACCGATAACCGGTAAATCGGTAACCGGTTATACCGATTTCGACTGATTATCAGCCCTAATTGTGGGCACAGTGGTACAAATAATAATTAGGGTTAATACTTAGGTTACCAGAGCGTGGAGCGAGAGCGGGAGCGAGAGCGGGAGCGAGAGCGAGAGAGTCAAAGCGTCGATATTTAAAGAATTCAAAGTTCAGAGCGTAAACAGAGCGTCAATATTATATTATTATTAATTATTTTCTAAACATCTTTAAATAAAAAATTATTTTCTGATGATAAAGTATCAATTGGAGCTTAGATTTAACGGGGAGGTCAGTGTTTAGACTTTGGAATTACCAGCAATTCTTTTGTTATATTGATTTTCCTTATTTTCCTTTTTAGAGAACGTGGCAGGTGGGGAGGTTTTAAAGACATTAAAGGGGCAAAATGGTAAATCAAACAAGGGTTTAATCACTTGTAGAAACTAAATCACTAACCCTAATCCATTCCTTCCATTTTTTGGCCGCCCCCTTACCTACTTCCCTCTCAACTGCAATCTTCCTCCCTCTTCTTTGTTCATTCTAGAAATCAGGAAAGGATGGACGCCAAATCATCCCGATCTGCTTCTCTCTCGCCTTCTTTGTCTGCCTACCCTCGAGTTTCTTCCCATCTTACGGAGGACGAAGTTGATGAAGGGAAGCTCTGAATCTGCTTCTCCTCCTCTCGGTAGCGGTGACTATAACGAGATAATCGTGAATAAGGTAGGCTTTGTGTTGCATGCATGTCATTTTTTTTGTTCGATTTTAATTTGGGTGAAGTGTAGGGTTCTAACCCCTTTTATTTTGGATTTTGGTCTCAATTGACGGAAGGGAGAAGAAACGGGGTCGCCCGCCGGCGAGAATCTTGCTGGCGACAAAGATGGTGGTGGTTCTGGGTGTCAATACTCAATAGCGGCGAAGATCAAATGTTCATGAATAATTCGCGATTTATTCCGCATAATTCGCGCTCTGATCAAAATAA